ACTCCAGTCTGGGCGACCAAGTGAGACTCCAACTCAAAAAAAAAAGAAAACCCACAAATCACCAGAAAACATCTTACAGCTAATAACACTTCTCAGGAGACTATTATAAAATACATAAATTGTCAAGGTATGCTGGCTCATGCCTGTAATCCCAGCACTTTGAGAGGCCAAGACAGGAGAATCACTTGAGCCCAGGAGTTCAAAACCAGCCTGGGCAACATAGCAAGACCTTTAATCTACAAAAAAAGTTTAAATATAATAAAATACATAAATTACATTGTCTTTTACACCAACAATTTCCTCCTTTACTATCAATCAGTTCTAATTCTGTACCAAGTCAGACAGGATCTCTGCAGTTCCCAAAAGCCCCCGGCCTCTACCCAGGTCTGACCCATGGCTACAACAGATAATGGCTAGCAGGAGGCCCAGAAGAAACAGGATTTGGACTCACTCCAGGAGGTCCACGGGTTGATAGACGCCATCTCAGAAGACTGACCAGGCACCTGCCCTGGAGCACTGCAATGCCCAACCTGGTGACAGAAGTGGAAAAAGACAAAACTGGTCCTTTCTTACAGAAGATTCTGTGGGAACAAAGCAGGGAACCCATCCGCAGAAGCAACAAAAGTCCTAATAAGCATTATAAGTAAATAGAATTTACATATCAAACATATGACAGAATTCCTGGAGAGAAATGAAGGATAACTTGCATAAGCTGAAAAAAGAATGAGATCCTGTATCCTGCAAAAACTTGTCAGCCATTCCCAAGAGACAGTCAGTCACCATGTTAGTTAATTTGACACAAATTAATTGTAAAATTCACTTGCAATCTTGATCCATTAGTTGTTGCCTAAAGCTGGGAGAAGACAGAAAGGCGAATGACTACTTAATAGGTGCAGTGGTTTATTTGAGAGAGTGATGAAAATGTTCTAGAATAGAGTGGTAATGGTTGCACAACTTTATGAACATACAACAAAACATTTTAAAGTGTACACTTTAAAATGGTTAAAGTTGTGAAAACTATGTTATGTACATTTACCTCCAAAAGTAAAAAATCCACTTGCAAGACCTAATCAGCCCAAGCCTGCCGGTCCTCTCCTCGTGTGGAGGAGTCAGAGATGGGTGCGGGACCCAAACCCCTAACTCCCCAAGTCTTGTTCAAGACCCGCGATCTCTCGGACAGATTTCTAAGTATACGTATAAAGCACTCAGACACCTATTAGGCCTCGGGAGCATCGGGATCTGCGCCAAAACGCAAAGTCGGCAAACTGTACTGTGCACCGTTGTTTGCAACTCGACAAAGTTCCCTAGTCGCTGCATATTTGAAGGAACCCGGGGCTGCTTCCAGCCCACGTTTGACGTACTTCGCAGCCCTTTGTGTGACCAGGCACGATGAGAAACGCCAGCTGGGAAAGAAAAGGGCGTTACTATTCCTATTAACGGCCTCAGAGGCGCCCCGTTCGCTTGCTTCCCAGCCTCGCGCCCCAGATTCCCGCAGCAGCCCCCGAGGCGGACACGATGCCGAAGCTTGTCCCGGCCAGCGGCAGGCCTTACCAGGTTCGCGGCCACCGCTTTTCGCTCCTCGAAGGCGACTCAGCTGGCTCGGGGTCGCCTCGCCGGGGCGTCCGGCCCAGCCGTTCGCCTGGAGCCCGACGCGGCCTCGGGGACAAAGGCCCGCCGGGCCCGCCGTGCAGGGCTCACCAGGGTCCGACGAGGCCGCGCGCCCGGAGGCG